CGCGTTACACCACGGTCTTCCCCTTGCGCAGCAAGGGGGAGGTCTCTGATGTTTTGATCCCTTGGATCTGCGCTGCTCGTCTCCAGCTCCGCGAGCGGTTCCAGTCGGACTTTCCTGTCCTGCGTCTGCACTCTGACAGAGGTGGTGAGTTCTCCTCAGACCTCTTGGCAGCCTTCTGTGCGGAGCACGGCATCCGCCAGACGTTCACGCTTCCGGCCTCTCCGCAGCAGAATGGGGTTGCTGAGCGCCGCATTGGCTTAGTCATGGAGGTCGCTCGTACCTCCATGATCCATGCGGCTGCCCCCCATTTTCTGTGACCGTTTGCGGTCCGGTACGCCGCGCATCAGCTCAACCTCTGGCCCCGTGTCTCCTTGCCGGAGACCTCGCCCACACTGCTGTGGACGGGGAAGGTTGGCGATGCGTCGCGTTTCCGGGTCTGGGGTGCTCGTCCCTTTGTCCGCGATACCACCGCGGACAAACTCTCCGCTCGCGCCATTTCCTGCGTCTTCCTTGGCTTTGTTCTTGACGCACCTGGCTGGCAGTTTTACGACCCAGCCTCGCGCCGTGTCTTTCCGTCTCAGGACGTCACCTTTGACGAGTCCGTCCCCTTTTACCATCTCTTTCCCTACCGCACTGCCCCTCGCCCCCCCCCCGCCGCTCTTTCTCGCCCCAGGTCCTCCCCAGGTAGACCCCCTCCCCGCGCCAGGTCCTGCTCCTTCAGGTGTTTCTCAGGTAGACCCTCCCGTGCCTGCGCCTGTTGAGGTCACTGGTGACTCAGGTCCTACTGGGGGTGGTGCTGTCTTTGGGGGTGCTGAGCCTGGGGGTGCGGAGCTTGGGGGTGCTGAGCCTGGGGGTGCGGAGCTTGGGGGTGCTGAGCCTGGGGGTGCGGAGCTTGAGGGTGCTGAGCCGGGGGGTGCGGAGTCTCGGGGTGCTGAGCCTGAGCGTGAGGAGCCTGGAGGTCCTGAGCCTGGGGGTGCTGAGTCTGGGGGTGCGACGCCTGAGGGTTCTGAGTCTGCTCCTGCGCGGTCTCCTTGGAGTAGCCGCCTTCGTACGCGTGTGCCTCTCACCTCACAGCAGCTGCACGACTGGTACGGTCGCCGTCAGGGTCGTGCTTCTGGAGCTCGGGGCTCTGCCGCTGGAGGTACTTCTGCTGACACCACTGGAGCTGGGAGTGGTGCTGGTCCCGGAGGTGCTCGCACTGGAGGTGCTGGAGCTGCTGGGGCTGGAGGTACTGCTGAGCCTGAGGGTGCTACTGCTGGAGACCCTGGGTCTGGGGGTGCTGTTGCTGGAGACACAGAGGCTGGAGACCCTGAGACTGGAGGTGCCGGTTCTGGGGATGCTGCTGAGGGTACTGGAGCTGCTGGAGGTGCTGGAGCTGCTGAGGGTGCTGGAGCTGCTGAGGGTGCTGGAGCTGCTGAGGGTGCTGGAGCTGCTGGAGGTGCTGGAGCTGCTGAGGGTGCTGGAGCTGCTGAGGGTGCTGGAGCTGCTGGAGGTGCTGGAGCTGCTGAGGGTGCTGGAGCTGCAGGAGGTGCTGGAGCTGCTGAGGGTACTGGAGCTGCTGGAGGCGCTGGAGCTGCTGCGGGTGCTGGAGCTGCTGGTGCTGGTGGCACTGCACAGCCGCGCCTGTTCTTTGCTCCACCATCGCCGTCGTCTCTGCCACCGCCTGACTCCGTACTTCGCCAGGTTCTTAGCCTCCCGTCGTCTACTGGTCTTCCGTTCCAGCCTGGCTCACCTCTGCCTGCTCCTTCTCCTTACGCTGAGCAGACAGGGGGCTTTACTGAGCGTCGTGAGCCTGCGTCGCGTCCTGTCTCACCTGTCCGTTCTGGTCGTTCCAGTCGTCGTGTTCCTCGTCAGCGTCCGCCGGCTGTCCCCGGTCCTTCCCTTGTAGTCCGTCGTCCTTCCTCTCCTCCGCAGCGTGTTCCTCTGCCGTCCCCTCCGGAGTCTTCTCTGCCTGTTGTTCCAGACCCTGAGTCTGACCGGTTTCGTGCTGAGCACCCTACTGTCTCGCGTCTGCTAGCCACAGTTGTCACTGACCCGTCGTTTGAGGCTGCTGCTGCGTCTGCCTTAGTCGCTGAGCTTGTTGACTTTGCTGCTGCCTGTCGTCTAGACTACGCTGCTAGTCTTGTTGCTGAGTCTGAGTCTGTCTGTCCTCTGTTCGTCGGGGGTGAGTGTGCCCGTGGCACGGACGTCCTTGAGGACAGGCACGAGGACCTTGAGTGTTTTGCAGCCGCTGCGCCTCATCTTGTGTCCATGCTGCTTGCCCCTGAGGGAGACCCGGATGCACCAGACATCCCGACCCCGCGCTCTTACGCTGAGGCGATCGCGGGTGAGTACTCCTCTCAGTGGCAGACAGCCATGGATGCAGAGATGGCATCCTGGAAGTCCACAGGCACCTACGTCGACGAGGTTCCCCCTCCTGGGGCGAACATCGTCAGTGGCATGTGGATTTTCAGGGTGAAGCGGTCGCCAGGTTCTCCGCCTGTCTTCAAGGCTCGTTACGTTGCTCGAGGTTTCAGTCAGCGAGAGGGGGTTGAATTCTTCCAGACCTTCTCCCCCACCCCGAAGATGACCACTCTTCGGGTGCTGCTGCACGTTGCCACCCAGCGTGACTACGAGCTTCACTCTCTTGACTTCAGCATAGCTTTCTTACAGGGCAGCCTGCACGAGGAGATCTGGCTGCGCCGCCCACCTGGCTTCACTGGGTCGTTCCCTCCTGGTACCCAGTGGAGCCTCCGGCGGCCGGTCTACGGTCTCCGCCAGGCGCCGCGTGAGTGGCACGACACACTGAGGACGACACTTGCGGCTCTTGGGTTTTCTCCGTCGACTGCTGACCCGTCGCTGTTTCTGCGCACCGACACTTCACTGCCGCCGTTCTACATCCTCGTGTACGTCGACGACTTGGTCTTTGCCACTGCTGACACTGAGGCTCTCGCCCTGGTGAAGTCGGAGCTGCAGAAGAGACACACGTGCACAGACCTGGGTGAGCTGACAAGCTATCTTGGCTTGCGGATCACCCGGGACAGAGCACGCCGCACCATCACACTGACTCAGTCACACATGGTGCAGCAGGTCCTTCAGCGCTTCGGCTTCACCTGGTCCTCGGCACAGCACACTCCTCTGGCTACAGGTCACTTGCTCTCAGCTCCACCTTTGGACGAGTCCGTAGAGCCGAGTGGTCCTTACCCAGAGCTAGTGGGCTGCCTCATGTACCTGATGACCTGCACTCGTCCTGACCTTGCGTACCCTCTTGGCCTTCTGGCTCGCTACGTGGCTCCTGGTCGGCACCGAAAGGTGCACATGGATGCTGCTAAGAGGGTACTACGCTACTTGTGCAGTACATCGGGCATGGGGCTCGTGCTTGGAGGACGGAGCGACGTTGTCCTCACTGGGCACTCAGACGCTTCTTGGGTTGACGACCAGGCTACGCAGCGGTCGTCACAGGGTTACACCTTCAGCCTTGTCTCTGGTTCGGCTTCTGGGCGTTCTACACGCTCGTCTTCAGTTCTCAGCTCCAGTTGTGAGGCTGAGATCTACGCCACAGCCATGGCTGCACAGGAGTTACGCTGGCTCACCTACCTGCTGACCGACTTGGGAGAGAGGCCTCGTTCTCCTCCAGTGCTGTACGTCGACAACAAGGCCGCCATTGCCTTGTGTCAGGAGCACACACTGGAGCACAGAACGAAGCACATCGCTCTGCGTTACTTCCTTGCTCGAGAGCTACAGCAGCGTGGTCAGCTTCGTCTTGCTTACGTGGCCACTCGGGCCAACACTGCTGATATATTCACCAAGGCACTTCCGCCTGGTGATCATCAGCGTTTCTGTACTTTGCTAGGCCTTGTGCCCACGTTTCCTCACTTGCTGTAGGCATTGTTTGTACTGTGATCTATATATATACCTGCATGCTTGCTCTGGTAGGTAGAGATCACTGTGCTATTGTTGTTACATATATATCTCTGCATGTGAACTGGCCTTGTGGCCTTTTGCTTGTGCTCAGACTGCGTGGTGACGTTGTGATCCACCCTGAGCTGTGTTTTGTTTCTTCTCTTGAAAGGTCTTGTGACCGTTGCTTGCTCTGGCTATCCCCCATTTCGCCTATGGGGGTGTGTCAAATTATATATGCATGTTTAGGTTATCTAGGCTGTATGGGGGTTAGCACTAGGGGGTACAGAAACTTTCTCGACACTCTAGTCTTGTACCCCAACCTTGACCTAATCTCATCATTCCCTTGACTTAGTCTTGACATAGGAGCCCTTGTTTCAGGCTCCCTTTTCCTAGTTCGCTACACCACTGCTCGGCAGGCTCAATGGCAGCCACAGAGGCTGTCGCTGATGGGCCCGACGATGAGGATGATGCTGATGGTCGCCCAGTTTCCGACCCACTCACCGGTCTAGACTTCCTTAGATCAGTCTTACCGAAGCATAATCCACCGCAAGCGCCACCGTCGCAACCCAGCTCGAGCCGCCCATCGATTCCCAGAGACTTTGCACCTCTGCACGAGACCGTCACTGAACCAGCGACCGCTGCGCAACAGGCGGTGGCCCATGAGGCGTCCGTCGGAGCACCTTCTCGTCCCGCGCCACCGACGAAGCTGCGGTACCGTCAGTCCACCATTGCGTGGGCAACTCCACCTCCTCCATCGACCGCAGGACAGCTCAAAGCCCACGCAGGACAGCTCAAAGCCCACGCAGGACAGCTCAAAGCCCATGTCCGACAGCCCTGAGTTGAAATACGAAGAAGCTCATGAGCGATTCAAATCCAAGTGGTCCTCCGATTACAGTTGGCTTGTTCTAACTAAAACCTCTTATGGTGCTCCTTCTTTCAAGTGCAGTATTTGCTTGGAGTTTGCGGGATTGAATGGCAAGTGTGGCCGGCGTACCGAGGGAGCTACCGACGTGCAGACACAGTCTTTCAAGAAGCACGAAGGGACGGTGAAGCACCGATTTGCTCTGCAGCGCCAGGAGGACTTGCTGCAGAAGTATGGGCGACAGCAGCGCATCGACATGCACCCGAAAGCGCAGGACAAGGAGCTGCTGCAGGTGTCGTCGCTCGTGGACTCGCTGTACTTCATGGGGAAGTGCAACGAGCCCATAGACTCGTGGATCCGGCTGGTGCGCTACCTCGCGAAGAAGAAGGTGCCTGGGTTTCCCGAGCAGGGCTACGGCACGTACTACAATACGTAAGTAATGTCGGTTGTATGCCCCGTGTTACTATTTTCTCTTTGACCGTCGCTAACGACTTTGTTTTTCTTGTGTAGGTACGGCTTTGGAGAACTCACTCAAGCAATTGCGACGTGGCTCCAAACAACGCAACTGGAGCACCGTCTCGCGAGCACTTTCATCGGGATAACACTGGACGAGAGCACCGACCGTCGGCGCGGCAAACACATGATTGTGTTTGCCACATTTCTCCGCGATGGCCAGGTTGTTACTGAGTTCATCGCTCACCTAACGATTGAGAACGCTGGCGCTGCATCTTTGTGCAGTTTGTTGCTTTCCCACCTCAGGGCTGTCGGCGTTGACCTCCGGCGTATCTCGAAAGTGAGCACGGATGGCGCCTCCGTGATGGTGGGGAGTCAAAACGGTGTGGTTGCTTGTCTGCGAATGCTCATCCCCAACCTGGTCTCGTTTCACTGCATCGCTCACCGGTGCGTTTGTGTTTTAATGTCATGTGTAAACGTCGGTGATGTATTTTATCATTCTCAAACCGTGTGTGTGGTTCTGTTTTGGCAGGGAGGCGTTGGCTGCCAAGGCCGCAGCGGAGGCGATACCAACCTTCAACATGGTTGACGACATGATCCACGCCGTTGCAGAGTACCTCGGGCGATCGTCACCGTGGCATCAGCGCTTCATGGAGCTGCAGGAGGTGTTCACATCCACCAACCTCGAGGTCCAAGGAATAATCGACGTGCGGTGGCTTTCAAGAGGAGCTGCAGTCGCCCGCTTTGTCCAAGTCCTTCCTGCCATCATGGTGATGTTGTCGGAGTGGAAGGACCAGACCATGTACGAACTTGTCACGTCGTACAGGTTCCAGTTCCTCATCAGGTTCCTCGCGGACCTGCTGGAGCAGCTCAACGTCCTCTCCTCGGTTTTCCAGAAGCGGGAGGTAAGTGACTTTCTGTGTGTTGCTTGTTTTGGTTCCAATACAAATCCCTTTGTACTGATTTACTTTGAATGTGTGTGTTGCAGCTCGACTACGCGCTGGTGCACACGCAGATTGTGCGCACAACATCGATCTTGGAGAGCCGGTACGTCGACTGTGGAGACGACTTCGGGGGGGGGCCCACCGAGAGGCTGTACCGCTTCATTGAGAAGCACGGTCCGAGTGGGTCACCAGAAATGGTGGTGGAAGGAGCATCGTCCGACGGCAGTCTCAACCGCTTCAAGGTAAAACTTCACGAGTGCACCAACCCGAGCTATCGTGGGCCAGGTTATCACGACGACTGCGTGGCGCTCTGCACCGACATGGCCAAGCTCGTCGTCGAGAACCTCCAGTCAAAGCTCGGCGACCTTGACTCTCTTTCCGGAGCGAGGCCATTCATTCCAGACATGTGGCACCGCATTGGGACCGGGACGCACGGTAGGCACAGTGCTTGGAGTGGCTGTTGTCGCTTGTCACGTTGTTTCGCGCAGATGAAGCAGACGAGATCCTACCAGGTCAGTTTATGTGTCACCCCGTTCCCCCTTTGACAACGGCTCCTTTACTAAAACCGTGTCCTGTTTTATCTTGCAGTCATTAACAAGAAGAAAGCCGTGAGGGAGCTGCGGACACTGTGTCCAGTCCTTGCCAGAGCTCCGAAGAGCGAGCGAAAGTTCCACACTGGACTTACCGCAATTCTCAGGACACCCGACTGGCAGCAGGCGTACCCCAACCTCGCCGGACTTTGGGTGGCGATTGCAGTGCTGCCACTCAGCACGGTCGAGTGTGAGCGAGGATTCTCTCGACAGAATCTCATCAAAACGTGGCAGAGGGGCAGCATAAAGGATTGTAGGCTGAGTGATCTGCTTTGTATTTCAATGCTAGACTATGAGCTAGACGTCCCAAGAGTAGTAGAGATTTGGCGCAGCTACAAGAAGCCTCGGCCGGTCACAGCACCTGCTGCAAGGCACAGGGAGGAGCCCCCAAGGGCTGGGAAGGAGCCTGTAGACGAGCCAGTAGTAGAACGTGCCCTTGTAGAATCTCTGTCAGACTCTAATGCAGACATGTAAAAAATGTTCACTACAGGTGTTTTCATATAAGAGAAAAAATTGACTGCTAGTCTGTAAGATCAGCGTTGAAATGTTTGTGTAGTCTGAAATTTCAGACTAAAAAAATTAGGTAACTCCGACAGCCAGACTAGGAAGAGGGGTGTACTCTGAGGCGTCAGACTACCTCAAAACGAATCTAGGGGCCTGGCTGGCAAGCCTGGTACAAAACAAAAACTTCTGAACTCAACCCTGCCAAAAGTGCACCGTCGCTTTAAGCTCCATGCTTCCTGAGCTACCTAACCTAACCAACAGGTCAGACATGTAGGAGATGCCATAAGTGGCAACAGTCACGTTACACCATTGCAGACCTTGCTTGATATATTGTGAACAAGTCAGGCTGACAATCTCAGCCATTCACTCAGGGCAGCCAATCTGCATCAACTTGAATTGTTACTGTACATACAGCACCCCATCCAACATTGGATTACCCAGCACCCAATCCAAAACTAACGGATCCTTGAGACCTCCAACAGGCAGTACGCACGCACATCTTTCCCGACTTGTCCGCCCTCATTTGCACCACATCAGGCATTTCTTGCAGCATTGCTGCAACCCTACGGTATCAAGAAATTCTCCCTGAAATTCCTGATTTCCAGCCTACTTTTGTGTACCGACACTGATTTTTCAGCGTGTAGTTTTTTGTGATACTGTTTTTTCAGCCTTCATTTCACATGGACCCTGATGCATCAACGTCCCTAAAAGTGAATCTGAGGGCCTGCTGCAAACCTCCTGGGCAATTGGGGTTTCTTCCCTGGTCTCTTGATGTCATAAATAACGGGCAAGAATGAGTGACTAGAAAGGATGGATGAGTACAAGTAGGGCAAGGTCTAGCCCTAAAGTGTTGTACTCAGTAGGGGCTACCCCACTACAACCTATAACATAGAAACATAGTTTGACACAGCCCCATAGGCAAAGTGGGGGATAGTAAACACAACCAACGGTCACAAGGCCAGTCAAGCAAGAGAACAAAGCAAAGCAAAGCTCTGGGTGGAACTCAAGATCACCACGCATTCTAAGCACAAGCAAGCAGCCGCAAGGCCAGTTCACATGCAGAGTTTCAAAAGCACAAGCAGTACAGTGATCACAACCTAGCAAGAGCAAGCATGCAGGTATATATATATATATATAGACAGAGAGAGATAGAGAGAGAGAGAGAGAGAGAGAGAGAGAGAGAGAGAGAGAGAGAGAGAGAGAGAGAGAGAGAGAGAGAGAGAGAGAGAGAGAGAGAGAGAGAGATAGAGCCGAGGCGGCCTTCCCCCAAGCACCTGCGGACCCCTGGGAGCCGAGCCTAGGGGACCTCTGGCAGGTGCTTGATGATGACCTTGCAGGAGTGTAAGCGCAGCCGGGGGTGAACCAGGGATGTAGGGTTGAACAGGAGGTTGGGGGGACCTAGGCAACTCAACTGGTAGCGCTAGGCCGCCTTGGCAGTAGCCACTTGGTGGATTTCCTTAGCATCTTATGGCTGGTCTTGTTTGCATGCTGGTTTATCTGCCCTGCCTGTTGCCTGCCTAGGTTAGCCTATCGGCCAGAACCGATTCCTGCATGCTTGTACCTTTTTCACCAACATTAATGCACGACTGCTTGAGAGAGAGAGAGAGAGAGAGAGAGAGAGAGAGAGAGAGAGAGAGAGAGAGAGAGAGAGAGAGAGAGAGAGAGAGAGAGAGAGAGAGAGAGAGAGAGAGAGAGAGAGAGAGAGAGAAAGAGAGATCACAGTACAAGACAAGTCAAGCAACCAGCATGTGAGGCAGAATAGGCACAAGGGCTAAAGCAGTGCAGAAACGCTGATGATCACCAGACACAAGAGCCTTGGTAAAGACATCAGCAGTGTTGGCCTGAGAGGCCATGTAAGCCAGGCGCAGCTGACCACGCTGCTGCAGCTCCCGAGCAAGAAAGTAACGAAGAGCAATGTGCTTCGTTCTGTCCTGTGAGTACAACTGAACCCCGTCCTCCAAGCACGAGCCCCATGCCCGATGTACTGCACAAATAACGCAGTACCCTCTGCGCATGTGTCCAGTGCTTCTTCCTGTGTCGCTCGGGCGCGACGAAGCGAGCAAGGATGCTGAGAGGGTACGCGAGGTCAGGTCGTGTGCACGTCATCAGGTACATGAGGCAGCCCACAAGCTCTGGATACGGGCCACTCGGCTCTACGGACTCGTTCGAAGATGGAGCTGAGAGCGAGTGACCTGTAGGCAGAGGAGTGCGCTTTGGCGAGGAGAACTGAAAGCCGAAGCGCTGAAGGACCTGGTGCACCATGTGTGACTGAGTAAAAGTGATGGTGCGCAGTGCTCTGTCCCGGGTGATCTGCAAGTCAAGATTGTTACGCAGCTCACCCAGGTCAGTGCACGTGTGTCTCTTCTGCAGCTCCGCCTTCACAAAGGTCAGCGCCTCAGTGTCGGCAGTAGCAAAGACCAAGTCGTCGACGTACAGGAGGATGTAGAACGTGTCAGAACATTATAGCTCATGCATATTGTGTAGGCTATAGTGGGGTAGCCCATAAGGGGTACAACCCAATTAGGGTTAGTATTTGTACCCAATTCATTCATAGTTCATTCATCCCTTGTTTCTTCTCATGGTATCGAGCAGGTTCCCCCGTGGGAACTGTTCCTAGGGCCCACCGTTTTTTTTCCTGCCCGGAGCGCACTCAGCCCCTGCCCGAGCCGCGCTCCCCTCTCTCGCGCCGCCCTAGCGGCCCCTTCGCGCCGCCCTCGCGGCCCCTTCGAGCCGCCCTCGCGGCTCTATCCGCCGCCCTTCGCGGCCCCTACTCCGCCGCCCTCGCGGCCCCGATCCGCCGCCCTCGCGGCCCCGATCCGCCGCCCTCGCGGCCCCGCTCCGCCGCCCTCGCGGCCCCGATCCGCCGCCCCTCGCGGCCCCGATCCGCCGCCCTCGCGGCCCCGCTCCGCCGCCCTCGCGGCCCCGATCCGCCGCCCTTCGCGGCCCCGATCCGCCGCCCTCGCGGCCCCTACTCCGCCGCCCTCGCGGCCCCGATTCGCCGCCCTCGCGGCCCCGATCTGCCGCCCTCGCGGCCCCTACTCCGCCGCACTCGCGGCCCCTACTCTGCCGCCCTCGCGGCCCCGATCCGCCGCCCTAGCGGCCTCCGGCCCCTGCTCCTACGGCCCCGGCGCCTGCTCCTACGGCCCCTGCTCCTACTCCTACGAGCAGCCCACCCGCCGAGCCGCCCAGCAACCGAGCAGCCCAGCCGCTGAGCCGCCGAGCCGCCCAGCAACCGAGCCGCCCCGCCGCCGAGCCGCCCAGCAGCTGAGCCGCCCAGCAGCCGAGCCGCCCTGCCGCCGATACGCCCAGCAGCAGAGCCGCCCAGCAGCCGAGCCGCCCAGCCGCCGAGCCGCCCAGCCGCCGAGCCGCCCAGCAGCCGAGCCGCCCAGCAGCCGAACCGCCGAGCTGCCCAGCAGCCGAGCCGCCCAGCCGTCGAGTCGCCGAGCCGCCCTGCAGCCAAGCCGCCCGAACCGCCCTGTCCGGTAAGAGCAGCGCCTCTCTCACAGCACTGCCCTCACCCTACTGTTTGCACTGCTAGTCTACTGCTGTCATGGCTACCCCTAGTGTCCTCGCTTTTGACGCTGAGGGTCGGGCCATTGACTTTGACGTCTGGATAGATGACCTGCAGCTTTTCTTACAGTGCGACAGAGCAGACGGCCTCTCCCTCTTTGACCTCACTTCTGGTGCCTCTCCTGCCCCCGCTGCTGATGCTGACGCCACTGTTCGCTCACAGTGGGCCACGCGCGATGCTGCTGCACGTCTTGCTGTGCATCGCCACCTGCCTACCTCTGAGCGTGCGCACTTTAGCCAGTACAAGAGTGCTCAGACCTTGTACGACGCTGTAGTTGCACGCTACTCCTCCCCTGCCACTGCTGCACTGAGCCGCCTCATGCTACCGTACCTCTTCCCTGACCTTGCTGCCTTTCCCACAGTCGCTGACCTCATTACGCACCTCCGCACTAGTGACACTCGCTACCGCGCTGCGCTTCCTGCTGAGTTCTGCGCCAAGAACCCCCCCCCCATGTACATCACCCTCTACTACATAGTCACCCGTCTCCCTGACTCCCTTCGCGTAGTCAGGGACCACTTCCTCTCGGTTTGTCCCACCACTCTCACCGTTGACCTCCTCGAGAAGGCCCTCCTAGCAGCAGAAAAGAGCATAGTCGCTGTAGGAGCCTCTCGTGGTGACCCTCGCACCCCCATCTTTGAGGGGTGCTCCCCCTCCCCTCTTTTGCCCTCTGTTGCCTCTGCTGCTGCGGCCGACCTCGCTGGTTTGGAGTCGGTTGGGGCAGCGTCTACCCCTAGCGGGAGACGCCGCCCTCGCAGGGGCAAGGGGGGCAGGGGCGCTGGAGGAGCTAGCGGGGGCGGTGGAGGCGGCGGTGGAGGCGGTGGAGGAGGTGGGGGTGGCGGTGGGGGTGGTGGCGGGGGTGGAGGTGTCGGTGGCGGCAGTG